GGGAAAGCGGTGGGCACTGCCCGAAACACCTGTTCCTTACGGCCGAACAAACACTGAGCCTCCCCAGCCCCTAGAACTCCATCCGGCCGTTCTTCCTCCCGGAGCCACCCCCCAACACACACACCCCCGCCCAGCGATTTCAGGGAGCGCTGGTATGCAGTGGGGGCTGCCTGTCCCCTCTGTCCCTCAGCTGGTGCCTCTCCTACCTCTCAGGACCCACGGGCGCTGTCATACCACCCATTGCCAGGGTCCTGCTTGCTCCACAGTTCCCGCTGCTCTATAAACAGGCTCTCTGGAACCTGCATGCTTTAAACCCAATCTTGGGGACACTGCCTGTCCCTTGGGAGGTTACTACGTGCCAGGGGAAGGACCAGCTCAGCCCCTTATCAAGAGCATTTCAGGTCTTTCTTGCATCTCAAGCCCCTGTCCCCAGGTGCTCTGCCTAACGACAGCCTTTTAAAAAGCACCATTATTCAACACAACAGCTAACATGCTGGTCTGAAGCATCCGCATTTGAAATACCTCCCGAATCCAAGGGGAATACTGGCGGGTATTTGTTTTATGTGGATTTAACAGAAAGGATGGGATGACCTTCCAGAAACAAGGAAAGTCTGCTCCAAGGTGACTTTCCGTCTCTGCAGCTCGAGACTGCAGTTCTCCTGCATAAAGAAAAAAAAAACCTCCAGCTCCAGTTCTCAGAGCATCTGCTACAGAGTAGAGGTGGTGGCAGCCGTAGGAAAGATCAAGGCTGGCCAGAGGGAGGGGCCGGGGAGGGGGATGCCGTCCTGGGGCACAGCTGCACTGGGGGGCTGGCTGCCATCTCATGAAGCCTTGGACACAGCTCGTCACCGGCCTATGTGACCTCTGCTCCTCACCTCCTGAGAAAGCCCACACGAGCCATTGGGAAGAAACTGTAGAATTTCAGACCTGAGAGAAACCTCAGCGGGCGACCCGTCCACACCGCTCCCTTCGTGATAGGAAAATCTGGGGTTCGAAATGGTGGAGACCCTGGCTAAAGCTACATGATCAGACTAGATCCCACGCCTTGAGCCTTGAAATAGGTTTTTGCGCCTCGTCGCCCACTGACAGGGACCTTAGAGCAGTTGGTGACGCGTAGCAACTTAGGTCCTCTGGCCTGGCCTTTCGCAAAGGAGATGACCACCTCTGACCGTTAATCCACATACCTGAGAGACTACAGGTAACCAGCACCACACAGAACTGCCAGAAAAAGGATTCTAGTCGCAACCTCTTATATGTGCAAGATGCTCTGAATGTGTATTCTTCAGGGACACTGCCTTCGGTCCAGGTCCCTAGAAGCAGAGCCTGAGACAAGGGTTCTGTTCAAGGAGAACAGGACTGTGGGGGAGCACTCTCCAGAGAAGGGGAGCGGGAGTGGGTGACGGAAGGAGCCAGGGCTGTGGTCTCAGCTGCAGATCAGTATCATCTGATCCCTGGGGAGCTCTGAGCACACTGCCCCCTCCAGAGCTGGCCTCGTGCCATGGTGGGGGCGGGGCAAGGGGCAGCCCCCCCAGCCAGGCAGCTGTGAACCATCAGTAGCCGACACTCAGGGCAGCCTGGAAAGGGTGCCAACAGCAACCATGGCAGACATCCTCTCCCTTGGCACTATTAGGGTGAGGACAGTGAGGCTTAGGGGTGTTTCGAAAGGGGTCAGAAGGAGGGCACAGAGGGGCATCGGGGACGGAGCGAGGACAGGGGTGGAGGCATCGCTCGGGTGGGCCGCCTGCATCGTGACCCGGCTGGCTCTTTTCTGGGCCGTTCTTACCTGTACTGTTCTGTAGTGACAGTAAATTCCCATAAAGCCAGGCTGACAAAGGCTCTGGTCCCCAGGGTGTGCGGCGCGGGCTACCGTGGCCAGCTTCCTGGACCGAGGTGGAGGTAGCATCTTGCTTCTGCACCCCAGAAGCCTGCCTAAGAAAAACACCGCATTCCATCCTCCTCCCTTTAGGCAGGAGGGGTCGAAAGGGAGGTGGAAATGTGAGAGCTCGGAGCATCTGCCTACACGGATTGCCGGGGCATCTCGTTCAAGGGCAGCTTCTGATCTGAAGTCTGGAGTGGGGCTGCGTTTGCGTTTATAACTAACGCCCCCATGGCACCGCCGGTCAGTAGCGGGAGGTCGCTCTGCCACCCTGGACGCCCTCCCTGACCTCCGACCCCTGGTTTTCCCTTGGCCATCGTCACTTCCCCACACACAGACCTCCAGCTCCGGGTGGAGCTGGCCCCTCATTGGCAGCGAGTGCCCAGGCCTGGCCATTCAGAAGGTCTCGGTCCCCGGGCCCGCTGCGGGGATTGGTCTGGACACGGGCACCGTGTCCAACCAGAACGGGCAGTGAAGCTGGTTCAGACCGTTTGGGGAGGAACTGAGTCCAGGCGGGCAGAGGGCCAGCTGCTCCTGCTTCTTCCAGAATGAGGGAGGGAGAGCTGAGCCCAAGAAGGGCTGGGTCCCGGGTGTCGCCATCAAGTCGCTGAACTTCTCAGTGTCATGGGCCCCCGAGTTCCCCTTTCTGCTGTTAGTCAATTTGAGTTGAACGAGAGTCCTGCCTGATTCACCCCCAGGAGCATCAGGTTCCCAGAGGCCCTGTCCTTGAGTTACTACCTCTCGGGATCCTCCTTGGCTGGGAGGACAATTAATGCAGCCCCAAATCTGGGCCAAGAGCCAGGCACAGAAGGCAGGCTCCGGAGTGAGCCTCCGCCATGATCGGGCCCACCCCCTACCACCGACAGGCGGGAAGTCACTCACCCAAGCCTCGGTCCTGGTGGCAGGCCTGACACAGCCGCTGGCCGGCCGGTGCTTTCAGCCGGAAGCCTCGTGGGCTGAGAAATGCAGCCATCGGCTGCAGGTGCATCGCAGGCAGGAGGGGGCGGTGCTGGCAAACCAGTGCCGCTCTGCTGGTCACAATTTACACATTTGCGGGATTCTCACAACTCCGTAAAGCAGAAGGAGCATGACTTACTTTCCCCGTGTTACAGGCAAGAAGATCAAATAAGGAGGGACGTGACCGGTGACGGTCTTCGCACTTGAGTGTTCTCAGCGGCCCTCCTGTCAGGTACCAAAGGGAATGGCCCCAAGGTCCTCAGCCGTGGGCGGAGCAAGCAGTAAGGGCTACTGCAAGGGGGCTCCCTTACCTGTGGCCCAAGTTCAAACAGCCATCATTATCCAGATGGGGTGGGGGCCAAGCTAATTCATTGCTATGCCTTTTGACCTATGCTTCCTACAGCCACCATGTTACCTTGAACGTGACTCCTAAAGAAATGACGGAGGCAGAGCTAGAGGCCATCCCCCTGCTCCCCGCTGAGCCCCAAATGACCACTCCTCACACGAACTGATGTCAACAGAACATTTATTCCACTTGGTCAGCTCTGGTGGGTGTCACTGACCTACGGAAATATCAAGCCTAGAAGGATATTTACGCACAATTCTGCATAGCTTTGGGGTGGTCCCTCCTGACCCGCTGCCCAAAGTAAGGGGGATCTGAGGCCTCCTATGGCCCTTATTGCCCCAGGGGGCCAGCCCACAGCCCAATAAAATGCCCCCATTAGTGAACTCACATGCCCTCTGCCCTTTCGTACCTGCAATCACCAGCCCCCCACGACCCCCCAGCATCAACCCATCCGCCAGTCAGCAAGTTTGTCCTAAGCGTCGTGAATCCAGCCCTGTGCTAGACCCTGTTGAGGTTCAAGGAGAAATGACGCGTCCCTTGCCCTCAGGGGCTCACAGTCTTGTTGGAGATTTAAGACACACACGCGTGCATACAATACACACACACACACACGCACACGTGCATGCTGCCACGCACAGGAAGTAGAGTATAGGATTGCAGTGTTAACACAGATGCCGTTCAGATGAGGAAGGGGATGGTTAGGGAAGCTCGGCCTGGTGGTGTGGGGGGCTTGGCGGGGCAGAGGCAAGGAGGGGTGGCCCATGGGAGCAATTCCAGGGGAGGCAGAGGCTGGAAGGAGGACTCACAGTTACAGGGGAGGGAGGAGACGAGCTGACAATCAGCAGGGGAGGGGTGAGTCTGTGAGGTTCCCTCCACACTGGCCAAGGATCACAGACTGCCACTCTTTCTCTGAAGCCCCAGAGCAAGCAGTTTGCTATCCCAGGATGAGGCACAGGGCAGATAGTCAGCAAGAACCTGTGCGCCTAAGTGCATCGGAGACAGGACAAGCAAGACCCCAGCTTGGGAAGCCCGGGGGCCTCCCGATACCCCTGACCAGACCCAGGCCAGCCCTAGGACCCCCACACACCTCAACGCAACTCCTCCGTGCCCCCCACAGCTCACATCGCTGGCCTTCCATCTGAATTCCGTGACTAAAGGCCTCTCAGTGAAACTGTCCCCCGAGGGTTTCTCTGACTATAACTAGCTTCGTGAAGTCTGGGTGCCATCGAGAACCCATCCCAGCCCTGGTGGCTCACACCGTTGCTGATGGGCAGTTCGTTCTGGAGAGGCCGGTGAGCTAGCTCCAGGACAGCCTGCTTAGGTGTGAAGACCAGGAGCCCTTACCCTGCTGCTGGCCTGGTGTTGCCCGGCCACCTATTCTGCTGGACGCTTGGAACACACAGAAGCTTCTCTGCCGGCCTCTCTCTCGCTGCCCGAAGCCACTGGCTCCAGGAGTGAGGCTCCGTCTCCCCGCTCCCTGGACTCCCTCATCTCGTGCCTGGCTGCGGAAGAACACCTGGGTGTGGCTGCTGGACACGGGCCCCTTCTCCCCGGGGCAGGCTCAGCCCCACTCCTGCCCCCACCCAGCACCCACAGAAGGTCCAGCTTTCCCCCACAACCTTCGCAGTGACATGGGAGCCCAGGCCAGGAGCCCGGGATGGGCTGTGAAGCCGGCAGCCAGGTCGCCAGAGCCAGCAACCCCAAACTAGGGAGGAGCAAAGCCAGCCCAGCGAGCCTCCAGCAGTGTTTGGGGAAGGCCTGAGGTTCCAGAAGCCTGATGCGCTATTTCCTAGGTCTGCGAGAAGACAGTGACTAACAGGGTCCCCTCCTCAGAATTCTTTATTCCTGAACAAAGGATGGAGGACCGGTGTGGGGGATGGGGTGGCGGAACGCTACTGGTTTGATGGCCCATCAGCTAAGGAAAGGGTGGCAGGTCGGGTCCCAGAGCCGAGGTTCCAGCCCGGAGTCCAGGAGTCCTTGGACTTGCTGGTAGATTCTCGCGTCTACGTGAGGATGTGTGTTTTCTCGGGGAGAAGGTTCATAACCTTTGTCAGATTTTCAAAGGGCTTCACGCCCCCAGAGTGAAGGGAACCACTGCTCTGAAGGGCGAGGCCTGAGAGGTCGGTTCCCCCCGCCCCGGGGGAGGCGGCGCCCGCACGGCCAGGTCTCCCACCGACGTGCTGTGTTCTCCTCGGCCAGTCACTTCCTGTCTCTGGTGGGCCAGGCGGGAGCGGAGAAGCCAGCTCTCCGCGCAGGCGCGGGCCCTGCGGCCACATGAGAGTGGGCTCCGTGACGAGGCAGCCAGGACGAGCTCTTCCACCGCCGTGACTCCCAACAGGTCTGGGGAGCTTTTCCACCGGGGCACGGAACCCGCCTCCAATCCCAGGCTCCACTGGTCCCCTCTGCTGTCACTCCCGGGCACCTCCCGAGGTAGGTCTTCTTAGGGCACATGTCCTCATGCCAGGGTGCAGGCCCCCAGGGGCATTCCTAGTCCCTGTGCCCAGATGTGCCTTGCAAACTGTCCAGGGGTCCTGCCCAGTCCGCATCTGTTCAAAGAGACAAAGAGACCAGGGAAGGTTCGGTGTGTGACACAGCCCTGCCCGGCCACCCCTCTGGGGCTGGGCCACACTGCAACTTCCCAGGGTTCTTAGCTGGTCCTCTTAGGCCCCTGCCACACACTCAAGGATCACTAATCCATTTACAGATGAGACAACCTGGCTTCAGGGCATTTTGGTGACTGGCTCCGGATGGCCCAGGTCCCAGTTTAATCTCTTAATCTCTGCCACTAAGTACTAGTCCACATTGCAATAGCCACCTGGGAGCAGGAGACCGTGGGCAATTGGTCCCCGAGGAGCCACGAAGCTCTAAGGAAGGGCAGAGGGCAGGGCCAGGTCTCCAGCTCCAAGCACAGGACTGGGCACGGAGTCTGTGGCTTCTCCAAGGTCCTCTCCAAGCCCCAGCTTCCTTCCTCCCAACCCCCCACTGTGGAAGCCCTATTCCCTTTAGGCAACCTCACCACCCAGCGACACCCCTGCCCAGGCTCCTGCCTCGTGGTCCCCGGTCACGTTCCTACATCTCGTAGCTCCGTCTTCCCACCAGTAAGAGGCTCTCTTAAGATGAAGGGTCTTGGGGTCCAGAACCCAAAACAGGGCACACGCTTGTACCGCTGTCCCACTCAGTACTAAGTGTCATTGGGGACAAGCTTGGGTAAGCCTCGGCTTCCTCAGCGGCCGAATGGCTGAAGCAGCCCATGCCTCGGGGTGCCAACCTGGGCTCAGAGGCCTGAAGCGAGTCCCCGCTCTCTCGCTGCATGACCTTGGTCAAGCCTCTCGGCTGGGGGCCTCATCTCCTCTTGCCCTGTATGACCCCAAGAACCTTGAGGCTCCTGCTCGTCTCACTTTGATTTGCCCTCACAGGGTCTCCAGTTCTTGAACCGCACCGCATGTCCGAGGTCAGTGTGCTGTTCGGGTGTCCCCTCTCGCCGGCCACAAAGTCCTTTACAGGACACGTATGAGCCTCTACTATCGGACTCCTGCCTCAGAGTCCTCCTTCCACCCTTGCTCTCCCTGGGTCACCTTTCTTCATCCCCAGGTCCCAGTTCAAACCAACGAACAGCCCCGGGTGATGACGGTCACCTCCCCACCAGCACTTTATAGTCTGGACCCTATAACGGCCCCCGTCGCCCCGAGTGAGTACCCGGCGTGGCGCCCCAGAGGACAGGGCCTGTGTCTGTGCCTCCTCTGGAGAGCCCAGCTCCGCGCAGTGCCTGGCACATAGGGACACTGACTCTGGGCCCGTGACGTCACCATTTCCTATCTAGTAATGGTATTTACGGGCCTCGCAACGTCCCTCACCTTTAGCCCAATTTACAAATGAGCAAATGAAGTGAAATGTCTTCTCAAGGGCACCAGATAGTAAATGCTGGAGCCAGGAGACCTTGGGGGGCGGGGGGTGGGGGGAAGGATTGTGGAGCGTGGCCCTCTCCGTGTCGCTTTCCACTCTGACAATCTGGGAATGAAGATCTAAAAAGCTGGTCGTAGAGGGACCTACGAGAGCGCAGCATGCCCCACCTCCCCCACCTGTCCCCACCAGACATCCCTCACTCCCGCCCCCACCCGCACCCCCGCAAGCCTAAGAGGAGCTCCGGCCAGCCCTCGGGTCTCACCTGCTCTAGGCCAGGCCAGCCCAAGGACGAAAACCATCGCAGGGGCCCAAAGTAGCTGTGCGCAGCCAGCCGGAGCATCCTGGCGAGAAGCGGGAGGGAGGCGGCGGCAGAGCCGGGCGGCAGCCCACTCCTTCAAGGCCCCCAGCCAGCCTCCCCTGTCTCCCGGAATCCCATCCAGAGGGGGCGCTGCAGCCCAGCGCCCTCTCCAGGGCTCACAGACGCAGCAGCAGCTCGGGGGCAGGAAACAGCCGGCGTCCGGCCCTGAGCACCTCATAGCACGCGGCCTAAATGGGCCGCCTGGCTCTCGGGCCCGTGACCGTGGCTGCGCTGGTGGGTCTTGAGCGAGCCCTCGCGTGCGAAGCTCTTGCCGCAGCGGGCGCAGAAGTAGGGCCGGCGCTCCCCGAAGACGCCGGGGCGGCGCGGGTGCGGGGCGGGCATGCGCGCGTGGGTGCGCTGGTGGTTGAGCAGGAAGCGCGGCTCGCGAAAGCAGCGGCCGCACTGCGCGCACTGGTGAGGCTTCTCGCCGCTGTGGATGCGCTGGTGCGTGAGCAGGTTTTGCTTGAGGCTGAAGCAGCGCCCACACTCGGGGCAGGGGAAGGGCCGCTCGCCCGTGTGGGTGCGCTGGTGCACTTCGAGGTTGTGCTTGACGCTGAAGGCCTTGCCGCACTCGGGGCACACGAAGGCGGCCGCGCGGCCCGCCCCGGCGTGCGCCTTCTGGTGGCGCACCAGGCTGGGCTGCTGCGAGAAGGTCTGGCCGCACAGCGGGCAGCGGTGGGGCTGCTCCTCCGCGGGGTGGTGGATGACCAGGCCTCGCTCGTCCCCCAGGCCCTCCTCCCCGTCCCCCGCAGGGGACCCGCCCCCGGAGGACGCCAGCTCGGTCATGGGCACTTCCAGCTGCAATCAGCAACCCCTGGGGAGGCAGAAGCAGAGAAAGGGGTCAGGAGGGACCTGAGGATTAGCCAGCCCCAAGGTCAGGGAGGGACGCTCCACTGTCCCCGCGCGACTTCCATCCTGTCCCTCTACAGTGTTGTTCAAGCCAGTGTCCCCTGCTAGATGCTCTTGTTTCTCCTCTGCCCCTTCAGGCCCTTCTCAGTGCCTCGTGGAAGCCTTCCCCGACCCCTCCAGCCCCTCCTGAGCCACGTGGCCCAACCCTATGACCTTCACTCATCACAGGGCAGGCGGGTCCATCCCCAGCACCAACTACTGTGCCTGCCATACCAGGCCTCGTACAAACGTCAGTGCGTAATATTCAGGGGCTCCTAGTATCCCACATTTATCCTGCACCTGGACACGTCTTATCTCTCCAACCAGATTCTCATGGAAGAGGTAGGCAGGTGCATCCCCAATCTGAAGGGAAGGGTGGGGTCACGGTGGTTTAAAGATCTTTTTGCAAAAGTTAAACGAAGAAACAAAACGAAACCCTTTAAACTTGAAAGCAGCCTCAATTAACACCGAAGGCAGCAACTCTTCATCAAAACAAGGCATGCCTGTGAGGCTTGCAAGCCACGGAACCCGGAGCATGAGCTCCCAGGCGCAGCTCAGCGTCATTGCTCCTGCCGTCCCCACAGCAGAGTCTGGCCCAGGCCGAGCAGCACGCAGTGTCCGACAAGCATCCTCGAATTCGGCTCCATCTCGTCCTCACTGGTTTTCCCTGGGATCCTCTTCCCCAGGCACTGTGTCCCCCTTAAATTGCTCCCCGCTGACCTCACAACAGCCCTGAGCAAGGGGCAGGGCTCAACGAACCCCACCTGTAGATGGGGAAACTGAGGCTCAGTGAGGTCAGCTGGCCCAAGGTCACACAGCAAGGTGAGCCAGGTCTAGGCCCTCAGTTTCCTTACTCACTGTTGAAAGCTCTTCTCAAGGTACTAGCCGCTCGCCAGCTTAACTCCCCTGAAAACACACTTGCGCACGAGACCACCGCCATCCTCCCAGCAACCGCAGAGCCATCGATACCGGAAGAGCCACTGCTCCTGGAGGGTACTGTCTGCTGCCACCACCTCCATGCCGCCGAAGCCTTGGGCTCCTGCTCCTGCAGAGCACTGAGGCCTGCTCTGGAGCGGCTGCACCGCCCACTCCCCTGTACCCCATCCCCCCAGCGCCATCGGGGCCCTTGCTGGCTGGTCCCCTGGACCTCCACACAGGCTTTCTCCACACTTCCAGATCTCAATGCTTATCGCAACCTCAGTTAATCTATCCGCAGAATGGGGTCTCAGTAGTACAACATCTGTCTCCCCCTACCCTCAGGCCAGGGTGATACACATCCTGGGGACAAGTCCTACTTGCAGTAGACCCCACCCACAAGTCTTTCCCGGGGCCACTGCATTGACGATTGCAAAGACATCATCATCACAGACCCCTTGGCCAACGTCAGCCTGGCCTTGTTACTGGGCAGCCTCCCCACTCTCCCCAGCTGTACTGCTGACCAAGACCCCTCCGTGGGGAGCGTCCAAGACCACGGCCTCCCTCTCGCCCCCAAGTACTCCGCCCCATCCCGCACTCACAGCCCAGGCTGCGCCCCTGCTCCTTCGTCTCCAGCAGTGGCTCTTTCCTCTGGAGTCTGCGCTGCCCAACGCAAATACGATTAACTCTCCCGCAGCGCCTCCCGCGCCCCTTCCCTCTCGCCCCCATAAAGACCGCCAGCCTCCTGCGCCGCCGTTCTTATCAAATAGCTGCTTCCATCAGAAGAGCTGACCCCACCCACCGGACACCCCACCCCGGCACAACCTTGCCAACTCCTGGAGCCAGAGTGACCCCGGAGAAATATGGTAAACTCTGCGTCGCAACCCCACCCCTATGAAAATACGTAGGCCTCCCAGCCTGCTGCCGCAACCCACCCCACCCCACTGCAAGCCCCTGCTCCCTTGGGGAAAGAATGCAACCCACCCCTGGCTCCCGCAGCGCCCCTGGGGGAACCACGCAACCCTGGGTAAATACGTAATTAAGTCGCGGCGCTTTCCACTCCCAGAAAGGGTCTGCGCGGCTCCCGGCAAATACGGTAGCACGCCCGCAGTGACCCGCCCCCAAGGGTCCGGCAGGGGCCTCGATAAATACGGTAATCTCCCGCTGCGGCCCCAGCCCGGGCCGGCCCGGGACTCACATGGCGCCGCCTCCCGAGAACCTCCGTCTCCTCCGCAGCGCCGCAGTCGCCAACGTCGCTGCAGCCGCACAGCAGCCCCGT